TTTACACGGAGTGAAAGTATGCAGGCCAGTTCAAATCTCTGTCACCACTCAGTACACGGAAGACAAATTTATAAAGAGTGAGCTTGGAAGGTCTGGCTGGGAAAATACAAAAGCTCAAGGAGGAATCACACAGATGAGCAGCTGGCCTTCCTTCTCATAGAATCGCAGTTCATAAACTTCTCTCTATAAGGCTTTTGCACCACACTGGGAGGCTTCCAAATATAACTCCATTACAGAACCATCTGAAGAAGCTAAAAAACATCCACAGAAGAAAATGTATGATGTTCAGTATTTGTCAAAACATTTCACCTCTGCGGCCACTGACCCCATAGTGACAGGACTAAGATGGCTGACATCAGAAACACAGCTCGCGCTCACTGGAGAAAACTGAAGGGGAATTTTGAAATATAACTAAAATTTAAAATATACTAAAATAATTTCCCACCATTAGATGCCTTAAGAAATCTAAGGTTTTGGTTTTCTTTTTCCTTAGTCCACAGGTCTTGACAATCAACAACGTTTATTAAGATCCCCTTGTACTTGGAACTTAACTGGGCATCCTGTATTTTATTTTTGCTCAGAGATTTATTGTCAAATTTTTCCCATTCCAAGTCTGCACACACAGACTGGGCAGGCGAGATTTCTGGAAAAATTTAATACTGTGCTGGTTAGCTTGGTAATGATATGGGGACAATTACCTGAGGGAGTTTGTTTAAAAATCAATATGGGATAACTCAGAAATAACCAGGGTGTACCTGAAATTATTTTTCTCCCTATTTGTTTTGAAATTTTCATTTGGTGAGATTTTATTTTTAAACTCTGCTTCCATCTGTTCTAGTCAGAGTTCTGCTTAAGTTACTTTGGTAACTGAAGGATCCCAGAATCTCACAGACTCAACACCCAGACTGAAGAAGCAAGTTTGAAAATGGACCCAGAGCAGTGCAAGTCCAGTAACTGAAACTGCAGTTGAGATCATGTCATCAGAGGAGGCTGGTGCAAATGCCACTTCCTCTACCACTGGCAGGGCCGCTACTAAGGACACTTGGAGGCGGGGCTTGATAATGGGCGAGGCCGTGCCTGCGTGGGGGCCAAGGGCACACGGACACTCTCTGCGCTGTCTCCTCTACACTGCTGGAAAGCCATTACCTCTCTGAAAAATAAAGTTATTAAAAAAAGAACAAAGTATGGAAAGGGAAGAAGAGTTTAACTGTAGGTGGAGAAACCGGCAGACATCATCCTAAACAAAGTGATCAAGTTACTTTTAAAAACCTTTTTACTGAGATACAGTAATATTAATTTCAGGTGTACAACATAACAATTTGAAATATGTCTGTATTGGAAAATGATCCCCACACTAAGTCTAGTGAACATCTATCACCGCAAATAGTTATAATGTTTTTTCTTATGATGAGAACTTTTAAGATCTACTCTCTCAGCAACTTTCAAATATGCACAAGTATTATTAACTATAGTCACCATGCTGAACATTTTACCCCCAGGACTGACAGTTATAAATTATAAATATTTCTATCTTTTGACCACCTTCACCCATTTTGCTTACCATAACCCCTCTACCCCTGCCTCTGGCAATCACCAGTCTGTTCTCTGGATCTATGAGTTCTGCTTGGTTTGGTTTTTTTTTTTGTTTAAGATTCCACGTATCAGTGAGATCATATGGTACTTGTCTTTCCTCTTTTGTACTTATTTCATTTTGCATAACGCCCTCAGTGTTCATCCAGGTTGTCACAAATGGCAATAGTTTCCTTCTTTTTGTGGCCGAATAATATTCCACTGTGTGTGTACACCACATCTTCATTTGTTCATCCATCGGTGGGCACTCAGGTTTGTTTCCGAGTCTCGGCTATTGTCAATAATGCTGCAGTGAATGTGGGGGTGCAGTCATCTTTTCCAGTGTTTTTATCTCCTTCACATAAATACACAGAAAAGGAGTTGCTGGGTAACACAGGAGGTCTAGTTTTAATTCGTTGAGGAGCCTCCCCACCGTTCTCTGTAATGGCTGTACCAGTTCACAGTCCTACCAATAGTGCACAAGGGGTCACTTTTCTCACATCCTGGCTAATACTTACTTCTTGATAATAGTCATTCTAACAGGTGTGAAGTTATATCTCACTGTGGTTTTGACTTGCACTTCCCTGAGGATTAGTGATGGTGAGCACCTTTTCATGTACCTGCTGGCCACCTGTGAGATCTTTGGAAAAGTGTCTATTCAGCTTCTCTGCTAATTTTTTTAATCAGATTTTTTTGGGTTTTTCTGCTGTTGAGCTGTATGGGTTCTTTACATATTTTGGGTATTAGGCCCTTTTCAGACATATGATTTGCAAATATTTTCTCCCATTTGGTACATTGCCTTTTCATTTTGTTGATGGTTTTCAAGGTTTGATGTAGTCTCACTTATACATTTTTGCTTTTGTTGCCTTTGCTTTTGGTGTCAATTCAAAAAAAAAAATCATTGCGAAGACCCACGTCAAGGTGCTTATCACACCTATGTTTTCTTCTAGTTTCATAGTTTCAGGTCTTTATGTTTAAGTCTTTGCTCCATTTTGAGTTGACTTTTTGTGCATGGTGTAAGACAGTGGTCCAGTTTCATTCTTTTGTGTGTTGCTGTGTAGCTTTCCCAGCACCATTTACTGAAGACACTGTCCTTTCCACACGGTACGTAGTAGGTATCTGTTTTGCTTGATCAGTCTCTCTTTGCTTTTCCTCTGATAACAAAGGACTTTTTTTTAAATCTGGAAATGCTCTTCTTCCACAAGGCAGGAATGTTAACCACATGCTGGTTTCCATGCCTTCTACAACCAGGCTGGGTCATCTGAGTGTTTCCAGAACCTTGAGATGAACTGATGGCCACACCCAGAACATAAGTCCTTTTATCAGGTACAAGCAGAATCTTGGAGAGAAGGAAGCTTTCCGAGATCATGGGTTGCCAGGAATCACATGGGCCAGGCAGTGCTTATGGGCTCATAATTTAGCTCACAATCTGAGATTTAGACACATAAGCTCAGTTCACAGGTGAGAAGATGAGGACTCAGAGACCAACAGCTTCCTCAAGTTCAATCAGGAAGCAAGCAGAACCGTGGGAGCTTTCAGAAGATAGCATTAACTTCTAATTATTAAGAAAAATGACACAAGATTTTTTTTTTGATTGAAGTATAGTTGACTTACAATATTATATTGGTTTCAGGGGTACAGCACAGTGACTTGATATTTTTATAGATAACATATAAACAAAATTCTTTTTTTTTTCACTCCTTTAACCCACAGCTCAACTTCCGAAGATCTTATGCTTAACGCCTTATCATAGAAAAAATAAAGCATCAGCTATTCCCCAGGCATTTGATCTTACTCAGACTCACTTTTCTAGAGCCTAGGAAAAACTTGTGAGAAGAGAATAAAATAACCCCCAATTATCACGCATAATTTTGAGTAAGCTCAAGAATGCATGCCTTAGATTTAAAGAGTGCCTCTGTGTCAAGCACAGTGTCTCACACTTTCCGAAGGAAAGCAGATGTCTTCCTTTCGAGCCTGTGGGAGATCTTCCTTGCACAGTCCTGTTACTACTGCCATGCACGCTGTCACAGTGCATGTCAGTGGCAGAGCAGTTACCTAAGCAGCACCTGCCCGTGAATGTGAGCAACAAGACTGGAAAATCCCTCTCCTGCTTTTGCCTTGATTTATTCTGCCAACTGGTTCTGTGTCCACACTCCAGGCCGGGCTGATACGTGAAAACGCACAACTTATGCAGCACACGTCAGGGGTACACCAGCCCCCAAATAAGCCAAGAATTCAGATTCTTTGCCCAGGCCAACAATGTTAGCCATGAAAACAAAGCTGTCTCCAGCAGCCCACCTGTTATTAAAATGTATGTGACAGACTCGCGCTGATCTGCCACCTGTCAGTGAATCATTTGGCAGGAAATTTTCTCCAGCGTTATAATGTAATTTTCACGTACGCCCACAACACCTAGGGTAAAAGCAAAACAAAGATCTGTATTAAGAACCAATATGTGCCAGAAATATTCATTAAAAATGTTCCGTTGGATTTAATCCTGCCAGATATCCTATAAATTCCCTCCCTTTTCAAATAAACTATTCAGAGAGGTTAATAAGCTGACGAAGGTCACAAACTAGCAAGGGAAGGAGAGGGGAATCAGACCCAAGCCTTACAAAGCCAGGGCAAAACTCTCTGTGCTCCCACTACTTCTTAGAGGTTTAGATGTACGCCCTAACGCATCTTTGTTGTTACTGTTGTTTTTGCACAAAAGAAGTTTAAAAAATACGAGGTTCTATAGGACTACAAAATTTACAGGCACACTAAACACACTAGACCTTACACCGTCTTCACCTCCAGTTAATTCCGAGCACTGGTATCTTCCACAGGGGCCCGACTGGTGGCTGCCCGATCTGGGAGCCCTCCTGGGAGCCCGGTGGCAAAGAACACACCGAGTTACAGAATAGGTCATTCAGTGTTCGGAAACTCTCAGGCATAGAAAAGTCTAAAATTTACACTGAGCAGAAACGTCCCTGTGTTAACGTCTGCCTCTCCTAGTCTCAAGTCAGACTGAAGAGAGTACTTATCTCCCATCACGACACTTTCAGAGTCAAAAGACAGTGCTGGCTCCTCCCAAAGTCTGCCTCTGGGCGGGATCAACACTGCGCCTTTAAATGGCTCCCCCCACCGCCCCCGACAGTTTCCAGTCCCACTTCTCTGGCACCCATAAAAGAACATAACATGCCAGCTGCGGACTGACTAATACAACAGGGTAAGGGAGGAAATTTCTCACAAATTGTTCTAGACACTATATTTCTGTTTATAGAGGCTAAAATTAAATTTGTTATTTTTCTACATGTCAATCATGCCACACTGTTGACTCATAATGAGTTTAGACTCAATTAAAACACTTGATCTCATATAAATAGCTAATAAGTCAAAGTGGTACATGACAGTTAATATTTAAACTAAGATTTAGGAGTTAATTATCTATATATTGTTAGTTTCAGGATTAACTGAGCAGTTTTTAAAGATTATAATTCTTTAAAATCATAATCCTTAATAATAACTAAGAGATATCTGTTAGTATGTCTACAATTTCTCAGGCATTACAGGTCTTATTGAATGAATGCTCACAACTGCCCCATGAACTAGATATTATTATTCCCTTTTTACATACACGGAAAGCTAGAGTCAGCCAGATTAAAGTCCCACAAAGCAGGACATGTTGCAATGAGGTTTAAATTCAGGTGTGTTTGATTCTAAAATCTCAGTTCTTTCCAGTAATGGACCGCTTTATGTCACTCTACAAATGTGACACACTGTCTTCTGTAACTTAATCCTTTAATGATGAAAACGCAAAAACATAAAATCTGAATAAAATGCAAGTAAAGACCCCCTACAAGGCTTAAAAAAAGCAGAAATCAAAATCTTCACAGGATGGAGAAGTGAAACATCTATGAACCCACTTAGCATCATTACTTCATCCAGCTTCGTATGTCTTACCTGCAAGGATATCACAAGTCTTGGCCAAATGCTTTACAGACTCTCACCTCTCTCTACTTCTGCCATAGCTCTATGAAACCATTAACCTTACTAAAAGAGTAAGTGTCAGCAGGTGTTATTCTGATTTGTTTTAATAAATTCATGTTGTAGTCTAATTATTGTTATTTCCATGTTTAAATATTTAGAAACATGTATTTAATAACCTGCTCTAAAACTTTGCTATCTCAATATTAAGAACATTGTTTATATCTCCAGAATGCAATTATTTCTTTCCCTCCCTCTTTCCTTCCTTCCTTACATAAAAGTCACATTAAGTACCTGCTGTATACTAGACAGTATGCTTGGTGCTGGAAAAACATACACAGAAACAAATCAGGGTTTAACATATTAGTGCAAGAAAGACATGTTAACACATCAGTATAGCAAATTAGCATTCACTGTAATAAAAATATGTACAAAGCATTGTGGGAACACAAGAGAAGAAGTGCATAATGTGGTATGGGGCCGATGACATTTACATTTAAGCAAGTCTTTGAAAATAAGGAAATGCTCTCCAGGTGGACACACCAGGGGAAGGACAACTCAGACAGAGGCAACAACAAATGGAAGATAACAGAAGTCACAATCAGTGGGCCGTCAGCTGAAGACATCACAGCCAATGACATATTTTGAAGGATCTTGTGATGCGCGGTAAATATCCGGTACTTTATCATGGGTCATAAGAAGCCATTGGAAGATTTTAATAGATCATATTTATCTTCTGGAAAGATAACTCTGGTAGCCATGTGGAGGACAGATTGGAGGGAGGTGAATCTAGAGTTAAGAGGGCCAATTAGAAGGTTATTGTACTAGATCAGGTGAGAAATAATAACAATCTAGTTTAAGAAACTGGCAGGGAGACTTGTAAACCTTTGTGCCATGGGTGTCATGGTTAAGAGAATGGGCCCAGGAGCAAACATTCACTTACTAGCCACACAACCTTGGGTAAACTAACATTTTTCTGTCTCACTGTGCTCATCTGGAAATGGAGTTAATAGTGATAACAACGCATATTACGCCAGATAGTTCTCAAAAGAGATCTTAACCATTTATATTATTAATACTATTATTAGGAAGAAGAATCAGTTTTGAGGCTCAGATGCAAGATGATGAACTCACATACTGAATTTGAAATTTACGGAATATTCTCCCTGGGGCTCCCGAGAATTCTGAATACGTTGGAGTCTCAAGAAGGCACAGCGTTATGTATCTGTGGCTCTCAAAACCATCAAGGTAGAAGAGACAATCCAGGAAGGATCAGGAGGAAGACAAGGTTAAGGCTGGCACTTGGAGGAACACTTTCTCTCAGAGGCAGATGCAAGAAGAACCTGCAAGGAGATTTAACCAGAGGAGTGGGGAAAGAAACTGGAAAGAACACTCTGTAAGTCTAAGGAGCAGAAAGGTTGAAGAACAGAGGATAGCTCAACAGGACCAAAGGTGAACAAGAGGACAGATAAAATGAACACAGGCAGGGACGGTATTGGCAGAATGATGCTGGCAGAATGCACTGTGTTAAAGAATCAGTGGGATGAACGAACTGAAGAAAGTGCACATCAGTGATGCTTCTAGGAAGCACGGCTCTGGAAAGAATAGTGGCTGGAGGCAGTACTTCTACAACAGAAAATGGGAAGAAGACAGTGAAGGAGAAGTTAAACCCTGAGGAAAAGAAGGTAATTTTAAGTTGTATAGGAGATTAGAGGAATGAGGATTCAAGGCACAAGTGCAGACTATAGCTTAATAGGAAGAAAGGTAAATGCTTTCACTGAGAAGTAAGGAAAAGACAGAAAGATAAATAATACTGCAATCCAGTAACATGGGCAGACCCTGTTTCCTCCATGAGGTAAAAGGCACAGTCACCCCCTGAGAGTAAGAAGAATGGGAACAGTTTGGGAACCACATGAAGGGTTGTTATACATTAGCAGTTGTCCATGTAGGAAAAAGAGAGAAAATGAAATAATAATCTCTAAAAGATCACCATGCTGCACTGAGGACCAGTTCAAGGTTGAAGACCATAATCTGTACACACATCTGTACTGTTATGTCATTTTCTTCAGTAATGGCTGCCCACCAGAGTGTAGCAATGTGTACTAAGCATTTTGACCTCATTTTTCTCCCTAGATGCCTAGAAATGTGCCTTGCACATGGTTGTTCATTTTATTTAATTTATGGTCTTAAGCAGATGATTCTACAGCCTTCATGCTTGGATGTTTAGTTTCAAAGAGAGAATCTAGTACGACTTGTTTCTCTAAATCCTGGCTGTTAGATATTCCTTAAACACCCCACGAGAGAATGATGCAGATGCATGAAAATGAAAGTGAATCTCAAATTCCTTAAATGTTATTCTTATGGCATAAACGATTACTGAAATGTATTCTCTGGTAGATTTGCTGTGCCATCTGGAATGGCTTCCGGCATTCGGAGTTACACTCCTGTTCCCAAGTCATGGTGGTTTCAGCCAACTAGAGACAAGGCCATCTGGAAATCAATAATTACCACCTTTCTTGTATTACTTCTGCTCAATATTTGCTTTTAGGTCACTAGCTGGTTTAAAGATTCTATATTTTAGTAGGTATTGGCCTTTTGTAGGCATTTTTGCATATTTCTATGTATTTCTACTACCACCCCCCGCAATGTTCTATTTCTAATAGTGTTCTCATTACAACTAGCTTTGCTGAGTCTGTTCTTTTTATTTTCGATCCATGTTCATGCAAGTAGCTAAGAGGCTAAATGTAATTGGGAGCCTCTATTTTTCTCATTCTGGATATATTATATTTTTTTTCCATCAGAGATGAGAAATTAACTATTTTTGTCTCCATAAGAAAGTTTTTGCCAAGTCAATTTTATATTAACTGGGTGTTTTCTTTTTGTCTTTTATAACTGTAAAATATAGCCTGAAATCCTTCTGTGATCCTAAAGGAAACAAAGTCAAAATAGGATTATTTACACCTGCAGAGAATAGGCTTAGAAGATAACCTGTAATGACTGCTTCACGTGCAGTAGGTGCTCAATATATTTGAATGAGTGGCTAAAAGCTTTATCACAAAATAATATATAATTATCAAATGATTAAATATTTATGGTACTTTTCATAAGAAAAATAAAATTGTAGTTGTAGTAAAAATTTATCTACAATTTAATATTTAAGCCTATACTTTCAACTCATCTGTATTGTCCAGTTGTTAATTCAAACCTTTTTTTTATGATTACTCTGACTTATACAGAGTAAGAGAAAACACAAATATAAGTGTTTCATTGATTAAGTAGATGAGGCACATCTTTCAAAGGAAGGCTTTCCACTTCATCTCTTCTGAAGTGGTAGCTACTTCACCTTGGCTATCTTTTCCCCTTGACACAAAGATTTGAAAAAATTCCTGTCAAAAAACGATGCCCTGTAATGATGGCCCTGGTGTTCCTTAAGGCCAAGATATTATCTGATAGAGGCTTGAATCAGATCCAGACTCATTGCCACCACAGACAGTGCTAAATAAATACTTAATGATTGCTATGGATTATGTTAAAAAAATAATATCCAACTGAGTAAACCTGAGGATCTAATTGGCTTTATTCAATGATTCATGAGTAGGGTAGCATCCCACGCAACAAACAGAAAGTTCCAAAGAACCATGCAAAACGTGAGAGCTTTATGGGCAGAAGTGGGCAGCGAAAAGGAAAGAGCAGATTACCTCTTCTTCCTCTGGGTGATAGAAGGGGTCTATGAGGCAATCTAGAGATTGCCTCACTACCACTGACCAGGAAATTCCAGACTGACTGGTTTAAGATTACATTCCTGGGAGAAGTTGAAACTGAAATTAGGTTGGGTAGTAAGTGTTGGTTTGCTGATATGGAGCTTGGCATAGGTGATTCCATTTTGGGCCTGTTGTGTCTTTTTTAATGATTATATTTCTAGTATCAGCTCTGCCAACAACTACCAGTGTGACCTTGACAAACAAAGAAAGGAAATTTTCAAAAAGGTCTATTCAATAGGAAGATATACGTTTATGTATATCTACACATGCAGCATCAAACTGCATAGAGCAAAAATTTTAAAAGAGGTAAAGGTAAATCCCTCAAAATACAAAAGAATTTTGGCACATATTTCTCAGTAACTGATACAATGAGCAGGCCAAAATATCAAAAAAGATGTAGAACATTTAAAGATATTTCAACATTAAATAATTTATACATAAAATACAGAATCTAACAACTGCACAACATATTACTATCAAGCACACATGAAACATTTGCAAAACTTATTATAAACTAAACCAAAAATCAAGTATCAATAAATTTCAAAGGAGTGAAATAAAACATATCTCTGATGTCAGTGGATCTGAGCTAAAAATAGAAAGGAAAATAGAAAACCCACAAATGTGTGAAAATTATGTAGCATATTCAAAATAACCCATAGGTCAAAGAAGAAATCAAAACGAAACTTAACATGTTTGAACTTCAGGAAAATTAATATATAGCAAGTCAAAATGTGTGGGATGCAGCTAAAGTTGTCTTTAGAGAAAAATTGATAGTATTGAATAAGAAAAACTGAAAATAACCATCTGAAGATTAATTTCGAGGAGCTAGAAAGAGAATAGAGAGTTCTATTCAAAGAAACTTATGAAGGAAGATAATAAAAAGAACATAAATCAATAAATTGGAAATCAAAAAATGAGTCAAGAGAGCCAATAGTTGGCTTCTTAATAAACTGGTCACAAGGATGATCAAGGGGAAAAATAAAAAAGAAAATATCACTAAAGACGGGACAGATATTTTAAAAATTATGTAATATATAAAGTTATGGGGAAAAAAGTCAATTTGAAAATTTAGATAAAATACCAAAAATTCCTAGCAAAAGATATTTTAACCCCTTCATTGTGGTATGGTTCCTGGATAGCAATCAACGCGTATTTCAAATGCACAATTGGATGCATTTTAATAGATACACACACCACTGAAACCACTACCACAGTCAAGGCAGCTAGCATTTCCATCACTCCCCAAGAGGTGCAATTTTAACTGGCACCAGGTAAAAATAGCAGAGCATTTTATCTAATAAAGAGACTGAATCTGTAATCAATTTTTATAAAATAAAACTTCAGGTCTAGATACTGGTAAAATCTTCCAAACATTTAAGAGAGAAAAAACACAATCTAACACAAGATCTCCTGCACTGTATAACAAGAGAAGATACCTTCCAGCTCATATTATGAAACCACTATTACCTAGATGCCAAAATCTAACAAGGACATCCCAAGAAAGGAAAAGCACACGCCAAATTCTCTCATTAACATGGTATCAAAAATCTCTAAGTAAGATATTAGCAGTATGTTCCATACAATGTTTCCACACAAAAATGAAATTATGCTTTTAACAATGTTTTCCTGGTAACTACTTTCTCTCTTTCTGAAATTCCAGTTTGGTTCAGATGAGTTTAAGAATATCCCACCAGACAAGAAAATTTGCAGAGTTCGGTGCTTTGTTTTGTTCAAGAGGGGTGGGCGTGACTAAGGTCCTGAAAGGGGAAAAGGAGCTTCCACTTTTGGCAAAACTGTCAGGAAACACCTTCTACCAGAACACATTCTCGTCTCTCCTGAGCAGTGAATCATCTGCTCCTTTTGGAAGAGCAGCTTTAGAGATCTTAGATTTTCCCTTTTTGTGAACATTTGTGATAATTTTTGAAATCTCAGATATTTATGATAAATGCATACAGAAATTCCATTTGATTCCCCAAGATTTGACTGTATCATCTCTTAAGGGATATGAAGCAAATACACATATTTATTTATCGCAGGGAAACAGTACACTGCATTCTGATAATGTGCTTCATCCTTCACAATTTATCTACTTGGAAGCCTCTGTTGGGGAAAATTACATAAACAAGGTTATCTGTGAAGAATATAAACTCAAAGAAATATTAAACTTTTCTATAAAGATGAGATGTTGTGATGGATACCTTCTAAGGGATCCTTCTGGATAAACTGATGTGACTTTGTTATCAGAAGTGATTTCCACTTAGGAGGATACACGCTTTGGCCTGATGACATGTCACATATGAATCACCATTCCACTTCCTGCAGGAAAAAAATGCCAAATTTCTTGTTTAGCTTAGAAGAATACGAACTTAATTTACTGCTAAATCTTTAAGAACAAAAAGAGTTTTCTATCGCAAGTTTTATTGTCAAAGATAGCCATTCTCCTTTTCCTTCTATTTTTTTATGCACTTTGTGTTCAAGGCTGACAGTTAATCAAGGGGCTGGATTGCCCCTAGGGTACCTGGAACCCCTGGCAAATACCTTTCTTGGGACCCCTGTCTACATGAATAATTCGAGTCACCCCGAATCAAGAGGCCAGCACCATTCTGGTCGCCCAGTCTCATATATGCCCCTGGAAACAAATACCAACTTGCCTAGCAGGAGAGAGACATCTGCCTGGCAGCCCTCCTAGAAATGGGGAGACCAGAATAATGCCACAAGTGCAAAGCTAAGAGCTGCTCTGGGTATCTGGTGGACCCCATGCCAGGGATAGACGGTAGGAGAGAAGGAAAGAGCCGCAGGGACTAGGAGCCTCCATGGATCTGGACCAGATTCAGGGAGCCCCTCTTAAACAGTGCTGCCACCCAGCAGTTTCCAGGCACCCAGAGTGGACTTACAACAACTTCCAAATGTTATATGAAAGTGATGTATTTGATGTCATAAATGTACATAACACATGATGTATCAATGAGAATATTTAAAATAGAAACTATAAGAGAAATCTACAGAAATATTATATAAAAGGAAACTATATCTGTCAGAAGAGATGGAATAACCAAAATATAAGGATCTTGAGACAAAATAATGATATATATCAACCTATGTATACTGATAATAAAAAATAACTTCTTTTGACCTGGTCACACAAATACATGGACAAACTTCAAAAAGTATAATAATACATAAGATATTCTCTGACAACAGAACAATAAACTATAAGCTATCAAAAAGGAGTGGGAAGATAAAGGAAGGACCAATTTAATTACTTATAGGGGTAAACTTTTATTATTAAAATATCTTGAGTAAAATAGAAGAGCAAAATAAAAATTACAGAATAATTTTAAAATATTGGTAACAACACAGTTATATTAAAACCCCTAGAAGTCTCACTTCTAGTTATAGTTAAGATCCTACTGGAAAGAACTTTTTTTTTTTTTCAAAGAACGGCTATAAGCCCTAGACATTATAGAAGGATAGCTACCTCATTAGGCATCCCACAGCATAGTTACACGAGTCATGGACAACTCTGGCAAGGTATACAAAAGTAAAGGAGAGAAATTGCATGTTGTGCATTCACAACTTTTTTTTTCTCAGGTAAGTGGGCTAGTGAGGGCATTAGTGGAAAAATACGGTCATCCCTGATTGGGGTTCCTGAAGAATAAATCCCAGAAAACATGGGCATTCGAGAAAGAGTAATCCCTTGAGGGAAAGGGCTAGATGGCCGTCACCAAGTTTGACTGACCTAAATGTATGAATGACTTCAGAATAATGGATGTCCACCAGCCAATCACCAGTCAGATCAGAGCTGCTATTGGAAAATCAGAGTTTACAGTTTAAGTCTCATTTATATAAAATGATAAAACAAATGAAATAGCATTCATCACAGAAAAATATTAGAATCCAATGCCCTCATAACTTGTCATAATATCCAATATGTAATTCAAAACTATTTGACAGCCAACACATCAGTAAAATGATATACAGAAAATAAAAATCAATGGTAACAACTCTGAGTGAACCATATATTGGAATTAACAAAACAGAACAACTACTATAACCATTACTAAAGATGTTCAAGAACAAAAACAAGAAACCAGCCTTGTGATGAAGCAAAAGGTACGAAATATTTTCAGTTAAATAGAAATCATTTTTAAAAGACCAAATGGAAACTCTAGAAATGAAAAATAAAATGTTTGAAATAAAATATTCACTGGAGAGACTTAACAGCAGATTAAAGATAGCAGAGGTAAGAGTACATGAATCTAAAGATAGATTAATAGAAATAGCTAATATGCAGAACAGAGAAAAAAGTGAGTCTGAGAGACCCATTATAGATAATACCAAAGCATCTAACATATAAATAATTGGAGTGCAAGCATAAGAAAAGATAGAATGGACCAAAAAAGTATATAAATATATTTGAAAAGACAATGGCCAAAGTTTCCTAATTTTGATACACACATATATAAATTTAAGATACTTAGTGAACACCAAGCAGGAAAAGCATGTAAAGGACCACATGAAGACACATTATATTCTAACTAATCACAGTTCAAAATACACAGCAAATGAGAAACTTGGAATTTGGTCAGATCGTTTTGAATTTCCTTCCAGAGGAAGTGGTCAGAACCCACAATTTGATCAACATCTCTCCTTAATTCTATCTTGGCCGATTTATCTGTTCTCTTTTCTGTCTTTCTTTTGATTTTTTTGTGTTGTTTTTTTGGTTCAGTGTTGGAATCAGAAAATGTAGATGAGAACAAATGTAATTTTCTAAATTAGAAATTTTGCACATTGAGGTAAAAGCATAACAAAAAAATCACATTCAATTATAAAAAAAGGAAAAGATGGTTATCACCAAGAGTCAGGTGAAACAGCCAAGTCCTTGCACAGCATTTTAAACACTCTCTTAAGCAGAAACGTTAGAGGTAGAGTGGTAGACCTAAGAAAAAGGTAAGCAGACCCACAGTTTTCACTCCATTTCCCAGGTCATTATCTCAAGCTTCTTGCAAATTAGACTTTAACATGTCTCTCTGTGATAGAAACCCAACTGTCTTTATTTAGCCAAGATAGAGGCAGCAAAAATTGATTTTTTTTACTATGGTATATTATTACAAATCACGTTCCATTATACTTTATGAAACCTGCTTTATAGAAACCTCTACCAGAAATTTAAATGTTTCTAGTCATATGTAAATTCCTTCTCTCAATATTATCCTCAGGGAAAAATAAATGCCAGTCACAATGACATCCATAAAAAATGTCTCCTGCTCATTCGTATAAAAGATCAGCCCTTGGTAGCTTCCATCGTAGAGGCAAGTTCAAGTAGTTCACTTTGACAGGCTCTGCCAATTGTAGTGGTAACATTTTCCAGTTTATTTTATTTGTTTGTGCTTAATAGATGTCACTTTTATTTTTCATTTGTACCTGTGGTCTGACATTTCCTATGTGTTCATTTCCAGAATTTCTGAACCATAAAGCAATTCATGAGCTGATCCCAATCAAGCTGCTGACCACAGCTGCCTATAATTAGTGATATTTCACGTCAGCTGGATTCTACAAAAGCAAAACAAAAACAATTTTTTGTTGTTGAAATGCCTAGGTTGGTGTTAAATCAAGAAATTCTTAGGTTGGTATTAACCACTTCTGAAAATTCATTTTTCAACAGGTTCTTGACTCCAAGCTCTCTGTGGCAACACCTTAGGCAAAATGTGATGTTAGTGAAGCCCGTTTTGTGTTGGTCCCTACTTCCTGATTTTCTGTTTCTCTCATCTCGCGGTGCCTCCTGGCCTCACCTGCTCATCATCCCCAAACTCCCATTGTTCATGGATTCTAGCTCTGCCTCAGAAGGCTTAAAAATTTTTTATTGTAGACATCTTTCATATTTAATTGGAAATAATGAAGAAACTTTGTACAAATACATTGTGTGCAGTCTAACAGAGAGCAAAACCTTCAACCACCAATCCACCTCCAAATAGATAATCTCAGGTACCAGATTGACTGACATCTCTTAATTCCTCTGATATCACAGTCTGGCAGTGCAGCTGAGCTGGGGGTTTTCCTGCCACAGTTTTGTGGGTGCCCATCAAAGACGTAAGTTTCCTGAGTCAGATATGAAGGAAATTTTATTATTTACATTTTAAAACTGCAAATTGCAGTAGCAAGAGTATCATCTTTTTTTTTTTTTAACCAATTTCGCAAGCTCCAATTTCCACAGGGTACATGAGGAAGACTAGATGGCATCTACACACACAGTGGGTTGCACTGCAAGAAAGGAAACCAAATTTTTGTAACAGTAAAAGGAAAACATTATCATTGACTACTATGTTAGACAGTAAGCATGCCTGCCCATTGCTCCAGAGGGAGAGGCACTGCCTCTAGCTTCTGAGGTTTTGAGCTAAACATCTTGAAAAAAATCACCCAGAATTAAAGACAACTAGTGCTGAAAAAAAATGGGTAGAAACAAGAGAGATCCATGGAGAATTATCTTCCAACAAATACTTGGTAGTTTTTATTTTATAAAACCTTTTTTAACTTGTGACAAAATACCGTCAAAATAAATCTATAAAAATTTTGAACACAATCAGGTTTTAGGCTATTTTTTAAGTTATCAAAATGCATTGGGTTTGAGACAAGAGTAGTTTGCTTGGCATACATGATGGGATTGTTTCCAAATAAAGAAGTTCCAAAGTTGTCTTGTCAAGTCCATCAAAGAGTCAGTGACTTCAGCTAAACAGGGGAAAACAGAAATGTCTGCTGGTGAGTCAACCCAGTGAAAGTTAATGGGGAAGTCCCACGTCTAAGAGCTGCCATTGTTCTCAGAGGGAAGAGACCCCTCAAGTCACAGTAACGGGAGCTGGGGCCTGAGAGGCAGCAATACCAAACCCTAACTGGAATCAGGTATCCAATCTAAACTGGTCCTAAAATCATGGAACATACTTTTCTATAAAAATAATTAATGTTTGGGGTTTCAACTTTCCAAAAGAACAGGAAGCATATTATATATTTTCAGTAGTACACTCACGATGAAAGGCCCAAGTTAAAGGCTTTTTGTAAGAAAATATTCGTTTAGTATTTGTTTATTTTCAGTGTTATCTCTAAATGCAAGAAAATTAGCTTGCAATAAACAGGATAAGAAGAGAATCAACTAAATGGGCGACTATAGAGCCTTATTTTTCGAATATCTGAAAAGTAGTTGAGTTTTCCTATTTTATATAGAAGTGTGTCTTTAAAATGTGGAGTCTAATTAGCAAGCAATAAAACTGTCTTGCCAAGTGGTTCTAAAGGTCTAGCTCATTAATAACATAAGAAGAATCAGC